ACTTGCCAGTAGTCCACTGTAGAGCTTGTAGATTGCCGGCTGCAGACAAATCGGTCTCCAGTTGGTTGCATCGTATCGCCCTTTATGTGGATCAAGCGTACGATGCCCACCTCCCACAGGGCGGGCACCCTCCGATGCAACCAACACGCCCGGAACTCGGCGTGGGGCAGGGGCGCGAGCTGGACTGCGAAGCGTCGGTACACATCGTACCCGACACCGTCGTGCCCTGGGCTGGAGGCCATGGCCGCCCGCAGGAGCTGGGACTCTACCTCGTCCACCGTGAGCTCCTCGTCAAATGTGGCTGCCTCGTGTGTTGCTGGCTCGAAGTTGCTCAGCACTTCCCGGAACTCCTGACCTTCCCGGAACTCCTGACCTCGGTCACTCTCACAGTCGAAGGAATTCCGGGGCGCGTTGGTGCCGACGAAGTGGCGGTGGAGCTCCTCTCGACCGATTGGGCAGGTGTCGGGGTACACCGCCGTCGCTTCTGGTGGTGCAGCTTGGCTGATGATCTTCGCCACGCACGACGCTTCGTCCTTGGCAAGCCTTTGGCACAGCCGAGTCTTAGCTTGCGCCGCATGCACGCGCCCCACGCGACGACGTGTGTTGCGGACGGCTATCCTGTCCGAGGGAGTCGCCCGCTGCACGCTCTCCATGTCGTCGAGAAGGCGGTGATCCAGGTGGGAGCGCGTCATGCGTGGCTGGTCCGTGTCGTCGGGGCTGGAGAGCGTCACAGTGAACAGCTCCAGTGTCTCCCGTATGTGGTCCGGGATGGCGCTGATATAACCCTCGCACGACGTCCAGCTGTCAGTGTCGGTGATGCGGCTGATCATCGCCTCCGCCATCGTTTGCAAGGCGGCGGCCGCGGCGTCGTGCTCGTCGCTTAGCTGCCGGAGGTGCAAGCGGGGTTACCATACTGGGGCCGAGTCTGGATCGATGGTAAAGGTAGGGAAGACCTCGCCTCCGTCACGCGCGGCAATCTCCTCCTCGATGTCCAGCATGGTGAGGTCGGGGTCGGCCTCGTCCTCGCTGCGCGCTCGGTCTGGCGCCTGTTGCTCGGAGCTCGGGGCTGGCGTCGATAGCGGTGCGCTGCACTCGTTCATGTCGATCTCATGGGGACCGCACTCCACGGAGGTCCGGTGCTGGTCCAGGGCAGGCGGTCGGCGTGCGCGTTGGCCTTGCGGTCGATGTGTCGTTGGCGGTGGCAACGCAGCGCTCGCAACTCGTAGCGCACTCGATTTCTCAGCTGGAGCAGCTTTGGGTTGCTGTCGCCCTCGATCAGCAGGCGCTTGTCTCCATGGTGGCGCGCGTTCTGCACCCCGACCAGTAGCGCCGTGTACTCAGCAGTGTTGTTGGTCTCCGTACTGGCCGGGAGGTAGTGCGAACACGTCC